GAAAAATTCCATCACAATAAAACATCAGACAATATCCATGTTATTATGAATATGTTACACATGAAGAGATTTGGTCATATGATTTTCAGAACTGGTTAAATTTTGACAACCATCCAACTTTAAGCATTTCTCAATATCTAGACAAAGCCTGCGAGTGTGAGCTCGCTCGTGTCGTGACAAAGCTTCAACATCCTCTTTTGCCACCAACAAGAGCCAACGTGTGACACAAGGTCTCGATGGTTCACGCGAGTTATTTTTAATGCTCTATTCGGCAGTCCCTTTGCTGATCGCCCTTGAGCAAAAGCTGCCAATGTGGCAAAACTACTTGTGATGACAAAGGACAAAAACTCCCTGAGAGTTCCCTCTGAGGTTTCTGAGACAGGTCGGTGGGAAGGAAAAAACCATGACGCAACATCGTGTGCGGAAACCTCTGGAACTACCCATGGCGACAGATGCAAACAAACACACATCCACCATTAATGTTGTTCATTACGATTAGCCTAATTTCTACAGCATTCGCTCAGTCAAAATCAACCAGGCCCAGAACCGCAAGCACAGTCAGCAAGAAAGCCTCACGTCACACCGGCTAAATATATCACAGTCAAATTTTTCCCGTGCTACTGCAAATTACTCTCTCTCCAGAAACAAGCTCATAACATTCAATGGGAGAAAAAAATCAATTCATACGCCATGCTCAGAGCTTCTGCGCTCTGAATTCAGCACAGAAATAAACCCACGTGCTTCGACATGAGCAAAAGCTCCCAGCCGAACGGATGCTGATTCATCAATAGATTGCCAACGTAAAAGGTCATCCCATTTCCCAAAATGACGTTTCCTGCTCACAAATGGGCCTAAGAGGAACCTGCAAGAACCAGTTCAGCTAGACTATAAGGGATTCTAATAGGCACACAGACGAATAAAGGGCACTGTACTCACCAGAGTTGCTGAAAGTTGTGGATCTCAGGACATAAATGGGGAGATTGGACAGATGAAGAGGGGAAGAGAGCGCAGCTGTGTCGCTGTGCGGATCAGTTCATCAGCCTTTAGACTTCTTTCCAGGTTGATAAGCGGCCCATTCTGCAGGCAGGAAGGCAAATCAAAACAACACACTGTCAGTTTAAGCCACGTTTGTCAGTCATGCGAGGCCGCCATACGTTGCACCTTCTCCACATCAGGGTCTCAGTGTAACGAAAGGGGGTTTGCCTCAAGAGCACGGGTGAAATCGCACTAGCCATATGTGCGCTGATTAACTTATCTCACGGTTAACTAAATCCTTAAATGGGAACATTGTGTTAAAAAAAAAGGCCAAAAGCACCAGCTTCTAGTTGAGCATCTAACATTTCTGTGGATGCACCACTTTTGTGGGATTTAACCAATGATTTGCCATGTTATGAGATTTATAAATGCATGAAACGGTTATGAAACGGTATCACTGACCAGAAAGGGATCCCAGAAGTCTCTTGGGTTTTCTCTTCCAGGTCATGTGACCAAGTGCCGTCACACTTCCAGACGACTTGAGAGAGTTCCGTCTGTCCAGTGTACCTCACCTTTTAAAAAGAAGCAAAACATTCAGAAAAATCTAATTGATTCACAGATTTAACTAGTTTTATGACTTCGATGCATTACCTGAGCAAGTCCTTACTGTTTCTCTGTAAAGGAGGTTTATTTACTATTTGAAATTAAAGGTTTTCTTCTGCTCTTCCAAACTAAGATTCTGTAAAAAAAGATGGGAGAGGGAAACATTCAAAGTTAGAATCCAATTCCATTCGATACTTTTGCAATGTAGGACAATTAAATAGAACTTTTAAAAGATAGAGACCAATCATATTGGTTAGTTTCATTAAAACCTCACAATTAAGTGAACACTACATTGGTTTGAGCAGATGTTGTTATTTCTGTCATGTCCTTGGGTGCTTGGGGGAAAAAAAAAACTGGCAATTCATTAAGAAATATTTCAGGTGTATTTCAGCTTTCATTTTCTAATAGAAATGTTTTCAAGCCAAACATGCAGAAATTGTCATCATACTATCTATATTATTTAAATTATATTACTGTTATTGTTCTATATGTAAATATTAACGTCTTCAGTCTTACAGTTAACAGAATATTTCTATTTGGGCATAAGTTTGTAATGGAATTTTATAGAAATAACACCATAAATAACACAAATTACAAAATGTAATGCATAACAGGAATGATCTGTATAGTTTCAGATTCTCATCCCATGTCTAACACACAAAACTGCATAACAAATTAGCTTGTACAAATAGTTATTTTTTTGATGCATATCACTGTAATTGTAACCATCTCTTACGTCTGTGACCGCACTGCCAAATCCAGCCTTCAACTCCAAGCAGAGAGAAATTCCTTCAAAAAACAAGGAGACATTTATCAGTAATTGAACATAACTGAACGTCTATCTGTGTGTGTGAAAAGTGCTCCCTCTAGTGGTCATGTTTGGCATTGTTTAACAAGATGGTGATGAATTTGGTTTCTGGCTCTAAGTGACATAGAAGTGATTATCAAATATATGACATGGATTATAAAATGATTAGTTCAGATTACATTTTGATTGGATGAGCCACCTTCAAATCTGCCACAAACACACCTATAAACACACATTTTATATTCATTAAGGAACTTACTACTTTAATCATTGATTCTGTCTTATTACCACAGGATCAAGCAAAAATATATCTAGTGAAATATATTTAGCTTCACTTTTTAGGGTTTAGGGTTTCTCCTAAACATTATATCAAACCCTAAAGCGCTTGACATGTCTCAGACTCCTAAAACACAATTTACAGTACTTAGGGAAGACTGACATCTACTGGCAAAAGAAACTACGGACACCTAGTGTCAATCATTTTACAGTTTGATGACCACTCTGGATAAAGAAAAAAAAGGGTCATGCAGACTTCTCCACATGTAAAATATTGGCAGAAGAAACACCTGTTAAATATTTACCCCGTCTACACTCCAAAAAACAATTTGGCCAATTTATTTATAGGCTTCAAGCGGATCCAGATAAAACACTTCGGCCCTCAGCCTGAGCGATATTGTGCAAACCAGAAGTTAATCAGTTCCTCTAAAGGCGCTTACAATCTGATCTCCTGTTTGACATGGAGCCACTTCAGAGAGTCCCAGAGATGAAACTCTATAATGATGTAGACTGAAATTCAGCACAAGGGCTCGACACACAAATCACACTATTAATGTTTAATGATCTCTAAAAGCTCCTATTCCTTTTCCGCTTTCTCAGGGTCCCACGTCCCGGCATTTACAGATTATCACCCGACCCCTACTCAAGGACTGTCCCAAAGCGATGGCGAACGAACACACCAGTGAGATTAAAGATCTCCGTTGTGATGGCGATTACAGTGCTCAAAAGATCCATAAAACACACAAGTTATCTCCTTTCGACACACGGCCCAGAGAGACAACCATACTCGCGCCAGGCACATGAACCACACCATGATGCAAGGACATATTTAACATAGCCGTCAGACTCCTTTGTTACATATTACACACTCAACGGGTGAAGCAGGAATTATATCAAAAGACAAACACATATGGCATACGCATGTTTACATTTTGCTTTTCCCACTGGCGATATTTCAGACGAACAGCCTCTATAATATATTTACAATTTTTCCAATACTGTAGCAGTCACTCAAATCTTTTTTTTTTCTATCATAAATTAAATATTAATAAGATCTAAACTATTTATATTGTGAGCATTAATAATGAATTGCAGCCCTTTCAACATT